GGAGATGGGCTTTCAAGTTCTGTGTACCATGAATGATTTCTTTTTAGTTTATGCATAAAATACAATTCACCTTATTGCTGCATATGAGCACTGTTGATCTCCTACAGCATCTTCACAGCCACTTCCTGTCTACATGTACCCCAGAAAGGTCTACATGTCATTTCTCAGGATGAGTTTCCTGATGGTGACAGCCCCGGACCAGACCTGTATAATGTGCCACTTGTAGGGAAATCTACCGGTGTATTGCCCGCTTAAATGGTTAGAACTTCTGTATTGCAGCACCAGGGGTCTTCTATTCACATCCCAGCCAGGTCATTATTAGACTTGTGCGCCGTCAAAAAATTTGTTCCGTTTCGTTCCGTAATATCCATTATTTCGTATTTTGTAATTCGTATCCGAAACTCAATTCGGATTCGTACGAAATACAGATTTTCGTTAGTTTCGGCACATGATGAAGTTAAAAAGCAAAAATACCTTTGTTAATATTGGAGTCGATGTGGTAGTTGTTTTTTTATCTGAAATACGAATTCCGTTAACGGATTCCGTATCCGAATTTTGTATTTCGGACTTTAAAAAAACTACCATCAACTCCAATATAAATGTACTTTGCTTTTTACCTTCAATATAACGAATGTTCGTAACAGAACGAAAATACGTCAACGGAATTTCGTATTTCCTGCCTGTGTATTGTAATGCAACCCTCAGCAGCAGCGGATCCGTATTTCAGATTTAAAAAAAATCTTGTCATGTTGTTCAACCTCATTTACAGGGGTAATATTAGTTCCTGTTTCAAAGAAATTCGGATCCGAAATTCGTTAACGGAATTTCGTATTTCGGATACAAATTCGGAAACTGCAATTCGGATTTCGTATGCTTACGAATCTACGAATTTCAGGAAAATTCGTACGAATTTCGATTCGTAACGAAACGAATCGCACATGTCTAGTCATTATCTGCAAGGAGTTTGCATGTTCTTCCTGTGCTTACGTGGGTTTTCTTCAGGTACTCTGGTTTCCTCCCACACGCCAAAGACATGCTGGTGGGTTAAATGGCTCCTATCTAAATTGGTCCTTGTTTGTATGCATGTGAGCAGTGGCAGAACAATTGCCATAGCGGCCCGGGCACAGGGGGACCCGGCCAGAACGAGGAACAAAGGGGTCCCCCTGATGCTGTGCGGGCCGCCTGGGTCGCTATGGCATTTCAGGCTGAGGCTGTCACTGGCGCCTATGAGGAGGAATGCGCTGCTGTTCAGATCACTGACTACCTGCCAGTGATCTGAACAGCATCAGTGACAGCCAGTAGCTGCGTCAGTGACAGCCAGTAGCTGAGGAGGCTGGGTCTGGCGTCGGCAGTGGAGGAGGAGGCAGGGCCTGTCGTCGGCAGCGGAGGAGGAGGCGCGGCCCAGCGATGGAGGAAGAGGCGCGTTCGGCGATGGAGGAGGAGGTGGGGCCCGCCATCGACCGTGGAGGAGGTGGAGGCTGACAGCGGATCAGGGCTGACAGGTAAGAGGTGTACAGCCCACCTGAGACCCTGCAGAGCCCACCATAGAGACTCTATGGTGGGCTCTGCAGGGTTACTCTCAGGTGGGCTGTTTGGGATCTCAGGTGGGCTCTGCAAGGGGCGTAACTAGAAATTACAGGGCCCCATACATAATTTTGCTATGGGGGCCCTGCGATTTCTAGTTAAGCCCCTGCATGTGAGATAGGGACCTTAGACTGTAAGCTCCTCAAGGGCAGGGACTGATGTGAATGTGCATTATGTAAAGTGCTGCATATATTGTCATAGCTCTATAAATACCTGTAATAATAATTCATGGTCTCTACATTCATTAAACCTCCACAGTCACATTTGTCCTGGTATCAATAAGACAAATGTGCACTTTGAGAATATGAGATCTGGCTTTAATTGTATCTCTGATTCACCAAAGAAGGATGGCCACTGACCTCCATAGATTTCAGACACATGTGCGTGCCTAGATTCAAGTTTTTTTTTTTTAAATTCACAAAAATGCGCACATACCTAATAGACAGACTAGTTTCCCCTTTAAGGAATTGCTCCGTCGCGCAGTAGCTCTTGGAATTTATAGTACAGATTATATACCTTGGCGTGAACGCTTCACTTGAATATTTTCTGTTTCCGCAATTTCTTGTTATGTTGCATGTTCATGCAGCTGCATCTATATTGATATTGTAATATCTGTTTCCGTAGGATGAGCAGGGGAACGCACAGAGGGGATTGTCCTCCAGGCACTGAATTAACTTGTTAATGACCTTTTATGTTTTGATTCCCCGCTGAGGTTTCTCTCCAAGTCACTAAGGAGATTAATCTTTAAATCCTTCTTAAGGTTTAGCAATAAAGCCAAAGACCACTTTCTCTATTGCTGTTTTCTGGGACCAGCACAAGCTGTGAATGTCAATCAAAAGGCAGGGAAGAGGGCAAAATAAGTCAGCTCCCCGCAGAAAACAAGAGGGGTGGCAAGTTTGTTTCTAGAACCTTAAAGCCCAGTTCGGGGCACAATAATCTTACGGGATTTCAGTAGGTTGTAGAGTGACTTTGCTGTACACCTGCCTGCCAGTATCAGAACTGCCTGCTTCTCCCTTCAAATCATCAAGTATACATGCAGGGGGAAGTCCAACCCACATAGAACGTCCGTATGCAGGTCTCATAGACTTCAGCCCTGTGGTCACAGCTCTGTCCCCCTCTCCTTCTGGCCAATCACAAAGCAAATGGTCCTAGGTTCCATTTTGTGGTTGGCCAGGCAGAGAGGGGGGAGGAGATGCGACTGCAGTGTACAACAAGGCATGTAAGTTTCCCCCCCCCCCCTGTATACCTGATAATTTGCAAGGAGAAGGAGGCAGTTCTGATCATGCCAGGTCTACAGCAAAGTCCCTGTACAGCTTATAGAACTCCAGTAAGACTATTGTGCCCAGAGTTGGGCTTTAAAGTAAAACGTCAGGCACCCTGCTAAATACATAGCTGAAATACATAAATGGCAGCTATTTAACCTGCAAGAAAATGCAATTCTGTCCATCCAGTCCAGACATAAGATTTAGGCTAGCCATACTCACTTACGGGTCAATTTAAAAATAAATTGCAGAACTGTTCACCGTGTTCGCCTTTTCGTTTTTTGCTAATAGAGACAAAAACAAATGCTCTTGGTATATTTTCTAAGAGTAAATGTAATGTAATACCGCAGTATGGCCACTAGATGGAGCTGAGGAGCATGGAACATAATGTAGTATTACATTTGACCTGAAAAGAAAATATACGAAGCACGTTGGTTTTTGCCTCTATGCACGCAGAACAAACATTCACAGAGATTTGCAGGGCGAATTGCTCTGCAAATTGTTTAATCTGCGAATTATCTCTTGTTCAGCCAGCGGGCAGAATGAGAGAAAATTAGATGATTCCCCATCCTCGCTAAACAGCACGGATGTTGAAATCTCCACTGCCAGTTGTTCTATTCAAACTGCAACCACGGCTGTCAGAATACCCAAACAGTGACTGCATCTGATAGCCTGCTGTCACTAGCAAGCAGTAGATATATGCAAAAAGTGAAAAAATAAATAAATTTAAAAGCGGTTTAAACGTACCTGTGTTTTCCCCGCGCGCTCCCGTCCGAAAATGTGAAAATTCTCGGGCGACCGCAAAACATCTTGGGGCGGGCGCATGTGCAGTTCACATTTTCGGCCGGGAGAGGAGGGGAGACACAAGGTAAGTATATGGACGCATGCACCCGCATGCAGAAACTGTGGGACAGGAAATGCCAGCAAGGACACAGGAGTCAGCGCTGTATCGGAGACCCGCTGGAGGGACAGATGAATAGGACAGGAAAGAAGAAGATCGGATTAAGAAACATCATTTAAAGGAGAACTATGTGGTTAAGGCTTTTCCTCCACAAACTAGCGTCCTCCCGTCACTCTAAGCTCAGTATACCGCGAGCAACAGCTCGTGGTATACTGAGACGCCGCAGCTGAAGCGGATCCCGACAATTATGTCTGGATCCGCCCAGCTGCGTGAGTGACAGCTGGCTCTGCCTATTAACCTGGTATGTGTTCGCTCACCTCCCGATCTACTGAGCCGACCTGTGACAGTCTCATTGTCACAGGTCGGCTTGAACTATGAGGTGAGTGAAAAGCACTCAACTCATAGTTCTCCTTTAAGGAAAGTGCTTTAATTAACATTGGGGGGAGGGAAAAATATCTTTGACTTTAATGTCACTTTAAGTCGCCACCCAAGTCTGCAATGTCTGCACTGCAATGGAACGCACGGCATTAGGGTACCGCGTGTTACAATGCAGGCGTGCGAACTGTGGGTGGGAGCTGCGTTTGGGGTACCATTCAAATGAGTGGCAACGCAACACACTTCCCACACCAGAATGCACAGTAGGTGCAATTGCGTGGTACAGTGCGTTAATCGCACGGTATTATGCAATTAATGCACTGTACTAGTGTGAACAGGCCCTTTTTTTTTAAGGTCCACCCAGTCTCCCTACCTTACAAGAACTGGAGTGAGGGAGATTTCCCTTCACTTCCTGTCCGATAGCCAAAACAGGAAGTGAGAGGAAATCCCCCAAAGTGAGGGAAATTCCTGGTGGTCAGCAGGGTCACCAGAACTAGTGTCCCTATTGGAAGATTTCCCCTCTATTCCTGTTCTGAATACAACCCAACATTTGGGATTTTCTTGCACTTTCAGTGGTTATGGTCACCAGGACACGTAGAGACGGGTGAATCTTCCTAATGGGGGCACAGACAGCAATAAAAACCTGACAGGGGGGTCTAATCCATTTCCACTCTATCCAAAACTTATAAAAAAGGGTTTTGGCTTCAGTTGCACTTTATGCGTTATTTTGATGTAGATATTCTGAGCTTTCGGAATGTCTTTCTTCAGCTCTCTGTTACATATTCACACGGTCTTATTATATTAGCACAAGGTCATTGCTCCTTTAACTAACTCAAGACAGTTAGCCAAAAACGTCTGAGATCCATTTCCTGCTACTGGTGTTGCTGCGTGGCAGATGAACCAAAGATAGATCAGAAAAAAAAAAAAGAGGCATTGCGGAATAAAAACAGAGAGCAAAAAAATGAGGAAGCGTTCACAAATAGAGTGCGATTCGGGCGTGCGGAATGCGTACATCCACAGCGTAACCTGAAGCCATGAGAAATGCCCAGGACTGGTAAGTGTTTAAACCACTGATTTAACACTGTTAGACACTGTCACTAATGCCATCCAGCTAATACATTGTGTCAAGGTTTTCCAAGCTTCCCTTCCAGGTACGGGCAGCCAAGGACTCAAGTTCTTCCTGTAAACGGTTGGAAGGACTTGCTGGCATTTGTAGTTTCTCTATGATGGTTGCGTCCTCCCTCATTAGCATGCACTGCATATCCTTTGTTTTTAGTAGGAAAGATGATGTTAAATTTTCCTTCTCTTTACTCTGCGCAGTCTGTGCATAATGAAAACCATCAGTCCGTGGACCCTGCAGGAATCTTATACTGGCTGCAGAAATTTTATACAACTTTCTTTTTTTTTCTTTTTTTTCTCGTCAAAGGAAAATTCCAGGCTAAGCCTAAAATTCAGTCCTAAACATACAGTGGGAAATGCTATTTAGCAGGGCGCCCTTTTCATCTGAAAGAAAGAAATAGAATATTCCTTCAATGATTTGGGCCTGTAGCAGAATGTCAAGCCTGTCTCAGGTTATATCCTCATTCCAAACCCAGCCAACACACATAATGTAATCCAGAAATAAGTGACGGTTAGGGCCTGTACGAATAAGTGTTACATTGTGCAGTGTGTTAATATAAATGTCATATTAAAGGAGAACTATGGGGTTAGGGCTTTTCCCCATAGTTCTCCTAAGGGTAATGGGAGGACACAAACTAGCATCCTCCCATCACCAGCTAAAGCTCGTGGTATACTGAGACGCCGCAGCCGGAACGGATCCCGACAATTCTGTCTGGATCCACCCAGCTGTGTGAGTGACTAGCTCTGCCTATCTAGAAGCAGAGCCAGCTGTATCCGCCCCCTCCCCCGTCAGTTCCGCCAGTCAGCGCTGGAGGATCGGACAGGGGAGGGGGGGGAATCCCTGCAGGGAGCCGTGAGTGACAGTCACGGCTCTCTACACGGATAGATCGAGAAGTGAGCAAGCGCCGGTATGTATTCGCTCACTTCCTGATCTACTGAGCCGACCTGTGACCGTTTCATTGTCACAGGTCGGCTCAGATTATGAGGCTGAGTGAAAATCACTCACCTCATAGTTCTCCTTTAAGGATTAGGCAAGCAAAACAAATGGCAAACGCACTCATCAATTTGTAACCAGCTCTAAGCAAGGTGCATTTTTTGCATGCTGGCTGGTGAGTGTGCTGGGAAAACTTTTTGCTGTTTGTACTGTATTAGGCCCTTCCATGTGCACCTTGCTTAGAGCTGCTTACAAATTGATGAGTCTGTTTTCCATTTGTTTTGCTTGACTGATTTGGTGCAGTGACGCATGGGGGGTCTCAGCTGCCGTTGTGATGTGTGGGGTCCCTTGTGCGTTCCTGTGCCTTTAAGGAGGTTGGGCTTCCGCCTGACAAACCTGCACCCAATTTGATCTTTTTCCACATGTGCTCCAAGATGGAGACTCTCATAGTTTAGAGTTAGGACCGCACTATACAGAGGTGCCTTGGCGAGGCGGCTTTCACATATTCTGCAGAAGACATGTATCTAAAACCTTTGTTTTTAACCTTAGTGGTAGACAAGTTTTTTTGCATGCTGTGCTGGGAAACTTTTTGCTGATGTTAAGGATTAGGGTCGCCACCTTTTCTTCAAGCAAAACCTGAACACACTCTAGCGACGTGCTGACTTTTTTTGGGGAGAATGAGTCGTAGCTTATTCATATGTAAATATCACAGTTGAGACTATTTTTAGTGGCGGGCCAGTAGCCCCTATCTTAATTTTGGTTGCCCCTGTCTGCCTGACATCTTGTCTGATGAGTAGGACTCTTATAAAATGTAGTGGCGATAAAAGCACCTGTGTGTTTAACCAATTATTTTTTGCATTAGTACCGTCTGGTCCACATAAATGAGGGGGGGTATTCCGGGTCACATACGTTATGCTTAAAGGTCTTCCTCTTTCTCATCTCAGAAAGATGGACGGTATGGAAGGGGGCTGCATGAGTGACCTACTAGGTATTTGCAGAATCACCTTTATGTACAATGAGGAGCATTGGAATGCATAAGATGTTCCTGGTAATCTGCAGAAGATGTGTGTTGTGTAATTCCAAAGTTATAAATCTCAATTTATAATTATATTATTTACAGAACACATTGAAGGTGACATCAGATGGAAAAGCTGGACAGCAGTTGTAGACTTGACTTATTCAAATAATGTTTGAGTGTTGAGGGGTCAGAAAAGAAACCACATGTGAAAAGACTCAATGCTTCACTTTCTTGAAGAATCTTTGAGAAATATTCCAGGTTTTCCACCTTGATTTATTTCTATAGAAACAATTCACTCACATTGCAGTTCATTGCAAGTTCCCTAAAGGTACTGTTTAAAGGAGACTCTTGTTGGAGGGGCACTTTCCTATTTGTGTGCAGCCTTAACCACCCAAGGCTGATGAATAGTACCAAACATGACATCAGATCATACCTTTTAAGGGCCTAACTTTGCAGATTTCGAAAGGGTGTCAACAATCACTATAGACTTCTGCTGAAACTTGTGCCAGATATGTCTTCGTAGAGATTTAGGCATTAACAATAAGCCTAATATGAAAACTGATCCTTATACCCCCGACACTTTCACTGACTGATGGACTGTCTGTCCTTCTCATTAAACCTTACTCTCACCCTGAGCTGTATTTAGAAATAGTGCTGCCCTAGGTAAACCGAATGGTGACACCCTTTACTACGAGCTTGGGTCCTGTGATTATTTTTGTAAAAACGACTCCATGAATGAGGGGAGCACTGAGTGTTGGGAGCATGACGTTAGGGGAGGGCAGGTTTAAAGGTGTAAAACGTACCGAAACCCTAAACAAAAACGGGATATATTTCAGCTTACCAGTCCTTAGATATGGTGGCTTCATTCGTTTTCTTTTTTTCAGGCCTTTCCCCTTTATTTTTACCAAGTAATGCTGTGATTTACACACTTCCTGTCCCAGCATTAGACCCCATTTCCCAGCACTGGACTCCCCCACTATTAAACCCCATCTTCGGTATTAAACCCCTTTCCTAACATTGAGTTCCCTCTCATAATTAAACCCCCTACCACAGTATGTGCCCCCTTTCCTCAACTTTGGTATCCTATCCTGTGATGTGCTGCTGCTTGGATGATGTGGCCATCAGAAATATATAAGGAACTGTTGGGCAGCAGATAGGTCTGCTGCTGCATGCTGGAAAGAGTCTTCCAGCACCTGGCAGTGGGACAGTTTGGAGAACAGTAGCAAACTGTGAGGCTATTGCAACCCACCCAGTTCCCCCACTGAAACTGTGGCTACCAGCCCACTGGTGCCATTATGGTATACTCAGGGCTGGATTTACTCTCTCTGCTGCCCCAATGCCAAGTTCCTCAATGTGCCCCCTGAATGCAGGCTGCATACAAGAGATCTCTTGTACAAAACAAGTGGCGGCTTCCCCGCTGTTCATTTAGCCCTGCTTGTCCAAATCAGGGCTAAATGTAGAAAACAACTACCTGCCCAGAACTGCAGATCCTGGGTGTCGGGAGATAGGAATTCCACACCCCTGCTGCCCCTCTACTCCCTGCTGCCGCAAGGCAAGGCCTTGGTTGGCCTTGTGGGAAATCCAGCCCTAGGTATACTCACACATTTGAATAGAGTGGGAAAAGGTTATACCTCCTGACACTTTTGATTGCTATGTTTTCATATCCCAATACCAGCCTTCAAGCCAATGGGGTAAAATCTCCCTAACTGGGTCACATTAGAAATAAAAACCTGACAGAAACTGTACATGTTTCTCACTCTATCCAAATAAAAAACATGTCCTAGGCTATCTGGATGCAGCTACCTTGATTTGCTGACATTTTATGAATAAGTCCCTAAATATTACATTGGACTAACTGATGTGAATTCTTGTTTTCAGAGAAATCTTGCCCTGTGCAGCCCCCGATGGATGAAGTTGTGCTCTTTAAAGTCTGTCATATTTGGTATTAGGATATCAATGTCCTTCTACAATCAGCACCTCATTTTACTAGGCTTTCTGGGTCTCTGCTCCATATCAAGCCTTGTGCTTAGTCAGAACCACACTCTGATATTTTCCAAAGACAACAACATCCGGAACTGCAGCTGCTCCTCCAACATCCATAACTGCGATTACAACCTGGCCAACCTGGAGTGCAGCTGTAAGACTGTCCACCCGAAGAACAAGACAGGATCCAGGATGAGCTACAGTGGCAACCTGACCATCTGGTTCTCCGATACATCCACTCTAGGCAAGCTGGTGAACTTCACTTTTGTGCACAACCTAAAACTTTCACTTTGCGGCACTACAACCCTGCCGACAGAATTCCTGGCCATTCTGGGACTCCGGCAACTGAAGGTGCAAGCAGATGCCATGGCGGAGCAAAGTTTGATCCTTTACAATAGCAGTGATCAGAAGGTCAAGGACGGACCTTGTCCCACACCCAGAGACAAGCAGTCACAATTACCTATTTCTTACCTGGACACTTCGGTCTTTAACAGGCTTCCTTTGTTAAAATCATACAGCGTGGAGAATGTATCCAGTGTTTTGGAACACTTCCCCAACTTGCCTTTTTCCAGTGTGATTTCTACAACAGACGAGGGTTACATTGTGACATTAATCTACTGATGGACAGGGATGACTGCATTTGGATGTAAATAAAAATACAATTTTGTGTATTTATCCTTTGTTACAGTGATATTGCTTTGAATGTGTAACATAAATTTGTCTCTGTAGGTAGTCTACTTTAAAGTCAAACTCCAAATTGAACACATTGTCCTGCCCCCTGCTATGGGGAACCTCCTCCATTCTTTATTTTTAAGATCTCATCAGAATCCAAAAAGGCTTTCTTAAAAGTCCAGCACTTGGCATTTTTTTCCGTTTAGTTTTAGTTAGAGTGGGAAGGATTAGCAATAAACATATTACAGAGGTTCTACCCTTTTCTACTCTGTTCACTCTTGTGGAGTTGGGTTTTAAAGCCCAACTATGGGCACAATAAGTGTACTGGAGTTAAATAAGTTGAGCAGTATGCTTGCTCTAAACCAGTGGTTCTCAACCTGTGTAACCTCAGGACCCGCATTTGTCCTTGGTCATTAAGTCGCGACCCAAGTCACACTGCAATGGAACGTATGGCATTGCGGTACCACGCGTTCTGGTGCAGGCTCCCACACCAGAATGCACAGTAGGTGCGATTGCGTGGTGCAGTGCATTAAGCGCATGAGAATGTGTGATTAATGCACTGCATTAGTGGGAACAGGCCCTCAAAACCACTGAGAGACACATACAACCACAGACACAGTCTCACACACTCACATTCTCACACACATACACATGCCAAAAAAAAATATTTTTTTTTAAAGTTTTTTTTAAGGGCCAGCCAGTTTCCCAAATTTACGAAAACTGGAGTGGATCCTCAGCCTGAGGTCCAGTGTGGGCTGCTGTGCTCTATCCATATGGGCATTGCTTGTACGGCTCAATTGCACATCCTGTAGAGGTCTTGGGAGCCAGAATGTGACGTCACTCTGGTCCAGACACCTCTACAGGACATGAGAGGGAGCTCTAAGCAATGCACAAATAGATGGAGCTCCCTCACGGGCCATACCCCCAGCCCACCCCATCCCACCTCAAGCTGATATTTTGAATGCTTCTTGGCACAAAATGTGTTGTGTTAGGAAGAGGCTGAAGAGTCTCTCACCTAGAAAAGTAGAAGGCATGCAGTGACCCACTGAACATGGTTTGCAACCCACTTTTGGGTCACGACCCACCAGTTGAGAACCAAGGCTCTAAAGCCACCTGCCATACTCTATACTACCTTATTCTTCCTGCAAATCTACTTGCAGGCACACTCCAGCTGTAACCTCTGCAGGTCTGATAGCAGTGAAAGCTCCATCCCATATTATTTGGGGGGTCTGCTGGTTTAAACATACACCATCGGGGTCATCATCATGTAGTCTTAATTACATCAAAAAGTCACAAGACAGGCCGTAATGTTATATCGTATAAAGATAAGTAATAGGGCTGGTAATGATTACAATTTTCGTGTTCGATTAATCGAAATTTTTTTAAATCGATTAATTTCGATTAATTATAACGCACATACAGATCCAACTACATTGGCCGATACACATACAGCACAGCAATGAAGTAACAAAATGAACTAGGATCACACTAATCCAGCACGGTATTAATCTCATGTGCCCCACTCAATATGGCCGCCGCTTGAGTGGGGCAACTCAGAATAATAACGTGCTGGATTATTGTGATCCTAGTTCATTTTATTACTTCATTGCTGTGCTGTATGTGTATAGGCCAATGCCTTGGCTGGCGCTCGTGCGGAAAGTTTCTTGGGCAAACTCACCGGCCTAAGTGGCTCCGTCGGCTAACGAAGGGGGCAGGAGTCTGTCAGATCGCCGATGGGACTCCCAGAAGCTGGCGGAGAGGTAAGTGTTTTCATTAGCGATCAAAATAATTTTAATCGATCAAAAAGTTTAACAATTAATCATTTCCACAGCCTAATAAGTAACAAACTCTCTCTGCTGGGTGTCAGCATGTAAGAAAAAAAAAAAGCATAAAAGTCACCATCAAAACTAATACAAGATTATATCTGTTCTTCTTCACATCAAACCCATCCCTGACTCATTTACACTTGTGTCTGTATGCTAGATGTGTAAAGTGCCATAGTATGTCTCTTCTGCTGTAAAAATCCTTCCAGCTTGCAAGTTTTTTTAAAAACCTGAGCTACGTAGTTTTGTGTTAAATAGATGTGCTAATAGTGCTGTGCAAAATGTATATCTGTAAAGAATAAGTCAAGGCAACTGGACTTGCTGTATTTTTCTTGAAGACGTTTCACTGGACATCCAACCAACTTTCCAGCTTGTCCAGTGAAAAGTCTTCAAGAAAAATACAGCAAGTCCAGTTGCCTTGACTTACTTTTTTACAGATATACCATGACCGGGATGAATGAAAACCTTCACAGACATGTGCAAAATGTAGTCATATGAAAGTACTACTATGTAGTAACAGTAGTTCACCGGCTTTGTGCAGCTGATAAGAGCTAAATATCTATAAAAGATAAACGGGAAATTCCAAAGAACATTTTTTTCCCAGGCAGTAAAGTAACTGGCTAGATACACTTCCAAAACAGCAATGATCAGAATTTTGTGAATCTCATGGTTGCAGTCTTGTCCAGTACAAGCAGCTGTGAGACATATCCTTAAGCTGAGCTGATTAGGGTCAGAATGCACCATAGTTCTCAATATCTTATAATTTCTATGAACTTTTCAGTACAGAATTTCCACTACTCAAATCAAATTGAGCTGTTTCACTGAGTGATCAGTGGCCAGTCTAGCTGCCAGAAGTATGAACAATGACGATTTCAGAAGCTGATAATCCGTTTCAGTACATTATCCGTCAGAACAGCTGTTTCCTGGCCTTACGTAACCCATTCCAATTTAAAAGAGAAGTGTACTTTTAAATGCAGCAATGTGCCGTCCGTCCGTTTTTTTACTACGGGCGGACGGCAAGAGGTTAAAGGTAATAAAAAAAAACTATTAAAGAAGCCTGTAAAAAAAAACATGAAAGCGGAATCTGTGGTGAAAAACTAAAAATAAATCTCTATTTCTATATTGAACTTCCATAAGTTCTATCCCAGTCCAAATGTTGAGGCAGTAAACACCTTTGCCGAAAATAATGCACAGTAAAGCTTACACAGTAGTGAGCTCAAGAGTATGTAACATACAGGAGAGTAGGGGTCAAATGTATTTAGCTTACAGCATAGAATATTGATCCCAGGGGTCAGGTCTATGTAACTTACAACACAGAATATGGATCCCAGGGGTCAGGTTTATGTAATTTACAACATAGAATATGGAGCCCAGTGGTCAGGTCAATGTAACTTACAACATAGAATATGGAGCCCAGGGGTCAGGTCTATGTAACTTACAACATAGAATATGGAGCCCAGTGGTCAGGTTTATGTCACTTACAACATAGAATATAGAGCCCAGGGGTCAGGTTTATGTCACTTACAACATAGAATATGGAGCCCAGGGGTCAGGTCTATGTAACTTACAACATAGAATATGGAGCCCAGTGGTCAGGTTTATGTCACTTACAACATAGAATATAGAGCCCAGGGGTCAGGTTTATGTCACTTACAACATAGAATATGGAGCCCAGGGGTCAGGTTTATGTCACTTACAACATAGAATATGGAGCCCAGGGGTCAGGTTTATGTCACTTACAACATAGAATAAGGAGCAAAAACTCGCCCAAATACTCGGTATCAGCACCAATACTAGTATCGGTATCTGTGCATCCCTAGTGAAAATGATGTCTCATGCCCCCTGAACCACTCTTTCACAATCTGAGCCCTATGAACCCCTGGCATTGTCATCTTGGAATATGCCCAATGTGCCATCAGGGAAGAAACAAATTCCACAGTTGTTTAAGAAATTAGAAGCCTCAAGTCTGCTCCCTTGATTTAGACTGCAAGCACCTCCTATTACCCCATCTCCATTACATAGAGGGGTAGTTGTTTTGTAGTTCACAGAAGATAGCTGGGAAGGATGATAACATTATATGATATTCCAGTTCAGAACACAGGAATTTTCAAGTAAACTGGATTTCTTGCAGGACCAACAAGTAATATTCTGTACTTGTAGAAAATGTTCTTAGCCTAAAAACAAATGCACCACATGCTGAGCCGGCTCCCTGCTTCTCCGGGCACTGAAGTGTTGAAACACTGTCAGAAGTTTTAACACTTCCCCCAAAATGTATTTTTGTTTTTGTCTGTGTCCTGGTTGGAGAAACTTTCCATTATTTCCTGTCCTGACAGGAAGTTAAGGAAATGGACATTGATATGGACATTGATGGGAATAAAATCTTGGTGGAGTCTGTAACCCCCTGGTGCCCAACCTGTGGCCATTGGGGCCCCCGCAGCCAGTGGTCTGTGCTCTCCTTTCCTATGTGCTTCCTCTGGGTATTGAAGGATAAGTATTCTTTGCCTGGGTTCCAGTAGTTGAATGGCTTGTCGTATTTCTCTCCCACTGTCTTACTTTTTCTGTTCTGTTTATCACTGTAGATGTCCACAGAGTCTCCGGGCCGCAGTAATATATAAACTTTGGGTTTAGTTTACAATAGTAGGTGTCGGATGCCCTCAGTGATATAGAACTTTCTGGATTAATTACACGGGTTAAAGCTGAACTCCGGCCATCCCTCTCGTCTTGCACAGTTCTACCGACCCATTTCCGGGACTTCCTCTGCTTTCACTGCACACTGTGAGCTTCTCTCAATGAGCAGTAGAAGCTGCAGCAAGCCAGTTAGAGCCCGCCTCATTACCTGGCTGGAGGACATCCAACATCATCTAAATTTCTCCTTCACAGCCCGGCCCGGCCCTTTCATTCATTGGATTTCAGTTCTTTCTATCATGGAGGTTCAGCATCACATGTGGTGGTTACCCAGGTCTGCCTGCATGCAAATCAAGCCTGCCCACCCACTCCTCCAGACTGACATCCATCCATCAGAGCTTTTTTATATTTGCATAACTCCTCCCAAGAGGCAGCCCACTGCTTACACATCTGGGCTCAGGATTCTTGGCAGGGTGCTGTGATGTTTTCTGGAAGCTATGTACAGCACAACCCCCGCCCCCCCCCATCCC